CGCGTATCAAAGATCAGCGACATTATTTGCAGACTTGCTAGTGCTTTCTATGAAATCCAACAGGAAATGCGTACCTTCCATGACCTCAAACCCAAGCACACTATCTCCGCCTCCATCTTTGAGAAGGTCGACGCAAACTACGCTAAAATTGCGTCCCTCCGCACCCGCCTTTTGAATGTTGTAGAAAATGTTTCCATGACACCCATCGCATTTGTGGTAGCAGGTAGGCCCGATAACTCTATGGCTCTGGTTTCATTGTTGATGAAAATGCGTAGATGAAGAATCTGTGATTTTCGAGGCAGTTTCTCATGTCGCGGAGACTGTCGCTTCCCTGCGTTCATGGACAACGGTCCAACCAAATTTAACGCACCTCTTCAAACCTACAGCGGATTGGCTCGAATCACAGCAGTTCCCCGCGCTCCTACCTCCTAAAACCGATGGAGCTCCACAAACTGACCCCACGAATGCTCTCATCAACACCCTCCTCGTTGTTCTTCAAGGTTTAAACGCGCAATGCCCTCCGGACTGCGCTGACGATGTGCCCGAGCCTGACGCCGAGGTGGACCTTTACATCTCGCAGAGCTGCCGTACCACCCTGCAGCTAACCCACCATCTTCACGCCGACTCCATCAACACCCACCTCCACAACGTCCTCATCCATCTCTCACGCATCGATGCCACGCAAACGCCCTCCCTCCACACGCACGTCCTGTCGCGCATCCTTCCGTTCCTTGACATCTACCTCATGCTATTTAGAAACCAGCTCCGCGCGCATGCGCACACGGCGCACGCTCTCTTCAAACTCAACCTCGTTCTATCCACGCTCCTCCGCAACCTCGCAGTACAGGGGTTCTGCCAGCCGCCAGAGGGCGACTCGGCAGCTGAGGCTGGAAGCGACAAGGCGGAGGTTGGGATGGGGCTGGGCGAGGGTACGGGCGCGGAAGATGTCAGTAAGGACATCGAAGAGGAGAGTCAAGTTGAGGGGCTCAAGGGAGATAATGCCGAGGAACAGAAGACACAGGACAGAGCCGAGGGCGGGGATGCCATTGAGATGAGTGAAGACTTTGGTGGGGAGATGGAGGATGTTCCCGAGGATGAGGAGGAAGATGGAGACGAGGGCGAGGACGGGGAGGAGAATGATGTTGAGGAGAAGGCTGGGGGGTTGGATGAGGCGGATCCGGAAGCTGTTGATGAAAAGCTGTGGGGAGACGAGGAGGGTCCTGGGGATGGGGATGACAAGATCGGACAAGATCGGGCGGAAGAGAAGGAGGGCGATGGTGATGTCATTGCAAAGGAAGGGGGAAGGCAGGACAAAGACAAGAAGCAGGAGAAGCAGGAGCCGAAGAATGCGGAGAACAAGGAAGCAGAGACGAATGATACAGATGGGGAGATGCAATCGGATCAGGGCGAGGGCCCTGAGGACGAGGAGAACGACCCTAATGTGAGCGGCGCGCCGATGGATGAGCACGTACAGGAAGCGGAGACACTTGATCTTCCGGACGATATGGATCTCGGTCTCGGGGAGGAGATGGCTGGGGAGCCCGAAATGGAGGACGAAGGTGAAGATATGAACGAGGACGATGGTATGCACGATGATGGGGTTCACGACCTCCCAGAGCAGCAGGGGCAGGAGAATGATATGGAGAACGAGGGCGATCACGGTGCCGACGGTCCCCAGGAGGTAGATGAAATCGGGGACGACACTCAAAAGAATGACATGGATCAAGAGGGCGAGTCGGCAGAACCAGCTGTCGCTCAGCCCGATGTATCTACGGGCGACGGTGAGGCGTCTTCCAACGACGCATCTAACCCTGACACCGGAAACCGCACGTCCACGGGTCAGTCAGTTGGAGCGGCTGCGGGAACTCCAGGTAACGAGCAGGTGCAAGAGGATAGCGAGAAGCCCAAAGATTCAAAGTATGTTCCTCCTCTGTAGAGATCGCTTGGCTCACCAAGCCACCAGCTTCCCCGAAAATGACGCAACCACAAAGTCACCAGCGAGCAGACGACCACAACAAGCAGAAGCACAGAAGCCCAAGAATCTGGCGCTGCAGACCAGGGTACCCAGCGGGGCGGAGCAGATGCTCCGATGGATGAACAGCCACGCAGGGCCAACCCACTCCAGAACCTTGGCGACGCTCTCAAAGAAATCAAGCAACGGTTCGATGAAATTCTTGATGCTTCTGAGGAGAACCGGATGGACGAACCGGGGACCGACCCTAACCCCCCAGGGTCGAGCACATCCACCCCGATGACGACGCAGAGCGGATGCAGGCCCTGGGTGCGGCAGGCGACGAACAAGGCGCGGTTGGAAGAGTTGAAGATTGTTGATGGGATGATGGGATGGACGTGGATGTGGACGTGGGTGAGGAATTGGAAAAATCAAAGAAGATGCCACAATCGCCCAAGATTCCTCCCGCGCAAATCCATTGACCCATACTGCTCCCGACCGCGCTGACGACATTGAAGGCGCAGTACTCCAATCTGGGAAGCGCCAAGAACTGACACTGCTGGTACCAAGCCTTCCGACATCGACATGGACGAGGAAGATCCCCTCAATGAAACGGTCGAAACCCAACTCCGTGCATGGCAGGCCGCCGATTGCCCCGCTGAGGACGCGGAAAACATATGGCGTCTCTATGAATCTCTTACGCAAGACCTTTCTTATGCGCTCTGCGAGCAGCTGCGCCTAATCCTCGAGCCCACACTCGCCACACGTCTCAGGGGCGACTACCGCACTGGAAAGAGGCTGAATATGAAGAAGATTATCCCCTACATTGCGAGTGACTACACAAAAGACAAAATCTGGCTACGACGCACCCGCCCAAGCGATCGGGCGTATCAAATTCTGCTAGCGCTAGACGATTCACGGTCCATGGCAGAGACGCACTCGGTGCACCTGGCATTTGGTGCCCTCGCGTTAGTCGGGCGGGCCCTTGCCCGGCTAGAAGCAGGCGAGGTGGCAGTTGCACGGTTTGGAGCGGAAGTGGAGGTCCTGCATGGTTTCGGAGAGGGCCCATTCGGGGACGAAGCAGGGAAGCGCGTGATGAGCGCGTTCCGATTTGGGCAGCGGACGACAGACGTATTGAAGTTGCTTGAGACTAGCCTGGGCGTGCTTGAGCGGGCGCGGGAGAGTCGAAGTGGGGTCAGTGGGGGCGCAGCGGATCTCTGGCAGCTGGAAATTATCATTTCGGACGGGATGTGTCAAGACCATGAGCGGATGAGAAGTGTTTTGAGGCGGGCGGAAGAGATGCGAGTGATGGTTGTGTTCATCATTATAGATGCTGTGCAGGCGAATGCCTCTCAATCAATCCTCGCGATGGACAAGGCAGAATACAAAATGGTCGACGGCCGGATGGAGCTTCAGTTAAACAAATACCTCGACTCGTTTCCATTCGAGTATTATGTCGTCCTCCGGGACGTTGAAGCGCTCCCTGACGTCCTCGCCAGCACTCTCCGACAGTTTTTGAGCGTATTTCAGAGGAGTAGGCCCTCATCTCATATTCGTAATTATCGCATGTAATTCTAGAGTTCTTGCAATACTTGTATGTTTGTTTGCTGATGTTCTATATTTGGCAAGACACTTTTAGACCAAACTGATGTTCCAAAAATAAAACTCCGGGTTGATGCATTGATATGGTCAGCCACGATAGAAATTATGCAAAAGGCCTCCCTCTGCGCGTTGCCTCCTCTTTTTTTTTACCTTGCTCTCAGTCTCCTTCGACATAATCTGAAAACATACTAACATGACACTCAACACAAAAGACAAGTTGGACCGTCCAATGGGTTAGCGCGCTTGTCCTCCCCCCACGCCACCCGGCCACCCGCGCGAAGGAATGCCATAAGTTCTGCCGATGGAATTTCGCTACCAGTGGGCATGTGGGGCCGTCCATGGTTTGTCGAATCCATGTCAATCGTTACAAGCGGGCTAGGCTATTACGCCACATCGTCCAGTCATTTTTCCTCTGCCTGGGAAATCCGAGTGGTGTACCCCCCTTCCCCCCACCTTCAAATGCAACATATTTTATAGAACTCGATCGCGCCCAAAATTTATCTGTCCGCAAACATTCGACATTCTCCAACCCTCCATCTATTCATATCTCGGCTGGTTGTTGAGTCATAATCGATGCGCGTTGATCGACGTCGCTAGCCTTGACAGTTTCGACCCGAAGTTTCGGCACCCCACCGTTTCCCTAGATTTTATCACGGGTGTGGGGCAAGCCACCGTGGCTGATATATCGCCAATACGCGCATTGTGCACCTTGGGAATACGCGATGGCCCCCGAAGTTATTAATTCCTTTCACCGCGGCTTTTATTATACCGGGTCCCCCTGTTCGGCAGCCTCAAATCGTTCCTTTCAATCCTGACTAAGTTGATCATCAACAACTTTCAAGTTGGACTAATGCTATCCGCATTCAGGTATTGAACACGTATCCATCATGGAGACTTGTGAAGCCACTTTGGTGACGACAATGGCAGCCGACGCCAATATCTGGCACGTCGCGCCCGTGGTTTCTCCCCAATCTGAGGCTCAAAGCAAGATCATACCATAAAGTGACGCCCGAGTTACCACCTACCATCAATAGCGGGTGTAGTACACAGGCCCCCACAATTGGGTGTTTTGGGGTCCGATCGCTATTAGTTTGGCGCGATATATATATACGCCTGATCGCTTCTCTTCTATCTGATGATGAATGTTTTACCAGTGGTGCGTGGCGACCCAATCACGAGGTTGGTCATGACGATTCCGCCAATTTTCCCTGTCTGGTAGGTTTTCATCAGGTATGTTTTTCCTGTGGCAGCTATATATTTAGATACGTGTGCGCGGACACCGTATCAGCTGGGATTAATTGCTTCTGTGCGGCCATCTGCATCGGAACCAACTCAGGACCAAGAACCAACCAAGTTATCATCGATCTGGAAAGACCTTTGCTCTTGTATGGCAGCAGCATTGACGAGCCGTTACGTTGGAGCGCATCGCAAATCCGGCCTGACAAGCGCATTAATGGGGTAGTGGTAACCTGGGTCGTTGCCATTTGAGCACTAGCTCGACCCGCCGGGGGTTCGATTCCCTCTTAATGCATGGCGTGGCTCGATGTTTTTGTTTTTGATCTATATCAGAATCGAACGTGGGTATGGGAAGCAAACTAGTGCTACACGAGGCTAGACGCAAGATGTGTACCATGTAGAAGGCTACAGAAGGGTTACAGTAAAGTGCCACTGATTTTGACGATTGTCAACAGGTCAGGGAATAGAGATCCGATTCGGGAATGATGGCATGGCGGCGGGAAGCCCTGAACGGAAGTAAAGGTGATCTCAGCCGAAATCGGACTTGCCCCAATCGAAACTGCCGTAAGCGAGCCTCCAATCTCTTCCCACAACCACCACCACCCCTTCCCCCCTCATCATCGCTCCCCCCGTTGAACTCTATGTTCTCGCTGACGAGCATCCACTCCCTTCCTGTCGAGCTCCTCGCCCGCATCTTCATCCTCGGTGCTGGTTTCGAGTACCCATACGGTTCCTCCCCATTTCTCCTCAAACCTTCCGAGGATTATTATGCCCCACCTTCCTCCAATTTTGCGCTCCTTGTCTCGGCCACCTGTGTCCATTGGCGCACAATCGCACTTCGAACTCCCGACCTCTGGACCGTTCTGCACTTCCGGGAACCGTCTCATATCCCACGCGCAGAGGCATTTTTAAAACGTGCACATCAGCCGCATGCGCTCTTCGATATTCTCGTCGACACCGTGGCGCCTGACGAACACATCCCCGGTGTCACCCTCTCTCATAATGAGATCACCACGATATTTGAACTTATCATACCACACGTCCACCGGTGGCGCGCCTTCCACCTCAAGGTTCGCGACAACGATTGCAAGCTCGCCGCAAGGAAGTCTCTATCTACTTGTGGGGCTGCGCCAAACCTACAAACACTGCAGTTGTATCATTTCGAGGATTACCGCACCGCACAAAATCTCTACTTTGCTACGTTCCGGCCCCCGGTTATGGTATTCAATAACGATCTCCCAGCCCTCCGCAACGTCTCTTTAATTGGCGTGAATCTTCCATGGGCACAGAGTCCATACCTCGCGTTCCTTCACACCTTGGAACTTGCGCTCCACTCTGACAATATCCGTCCGCCATACCAGTATTGGCGTAGCATGTTATCGAGCCCCCAACTTCATACACTCACTATCCATTACTCGGGCCCGAAAGCTGAAGATGCACCCTGGTCCAGTCCAACAGCAGACGATCCTGTTATCCCTGTTCCAACCCTCCGCGTTCTTTCCCTCACCGATCTCGACTCGGATTACCTCTGCCGCCTCATGGACCGTCTACACCTCCCCGCCATCTCTCATCTCTCCCTGGATCTCTCCGAGCAGGACTTTACCCCCTTCCTTGACATGCTCTGCCCGACCGCCGCCACCGCACGCCCCACCTCGCCACAGCACGACCCTGTATCCCCAGCTGTCTCCTCCGCCTCCACCGCATTCGTCACGCCATCGCCCACCATTCCCTCCGCGCCCCCGCCGCACATACCCTTTCCCCACCTTGCGGTACACTTACACACACTCGTCATCAACGCCCTCGACTGCACCCTCCCCGCCTGGCTGCACCTACTACGTACCCTCCGCAGCCTGCGCGTTTTCGAGGCCGACTTTGCCCGCGTGGGCACCGGTGCTCCTATCTTCTCGGAAGTGTTCTGCCCTACTCAGGGCCCTGAAAAGCAGAACATTGAAGACAGGGAGCAGGTGCTGCTTCCGAGCCTGGAGGTGTTTAGGGTCGCGGGGGTGAGTGGGGACAGGCTCGCGTTGATGATCGCACACCGCGAGGCACAGCAGGCTAAAGGGGCTGGCGTCGATGACGTGGTAACAAAAGGAGACGGCGCCAAAAACGGGCATCCGATGGATTTGGAAATTCCAAAACGAAATGGGCTCTGGCCCTATACAGATGCAGACGCGGCCTGCGAAAGTGATGGGGAGTCGGATGCGCCAACGGCTGTGGACGAGGGGATGGTGGTGCCCCCGCGCCCTCTGCGGTGGGTTGTGCGTTGGAGCCCGCGGCACCGCGGACGTGACGTGGTACTGGATGCGCTGGTGGAGAGCGGGTGGCCGCTGAGCTATACCGGGAGCGATGCACGAGTCAAGGTGGAGTGGGTAGAGAAGGAGGGAGAGGATCTAGAAGAAGAGGGGGACGAGGATGAGGAAGCGGAAGAGGAAGACGGGGAAGAAAATGAAAATGAAGTGGAAGCAGCGGACGCTCAGGAAGATGAAGGGGACGAAGAGGAGGAGGAAGAGGACGGATAACACCGACGACACGCACACGTATATTTCTTGATTTTTCTGTTTATTGCTCGCGGCTCGCTGGATTTGTGTTTAAATACCATGTAAGAATAGTGTACTTGTTACGCAGTGTATGAATACGGTTCTGCTATCGGACCTAGTGGTCATGCCGGAACCCTAACACATAAATGGGGGAGAAAAATTTGACTCCACCAACAAAATATAATGCATTAAGAGGGAATCGAACCCCCGGCGGGTCGAGCTATGCTCGGATGGCAACGACCCAGGTTACCACTACCCCATTAATGCTTGATGCGGTAGGTGGTTTGGAGCCCTAGATGTATGCATTCGCATCCCGCGACCGTGCGTGGGCGAGGTCACCAGGCCCTGTCAGGCTCCACCACAACAGCTATCACAGCTTGGGCAGGGAGGCATAGTTGGGGTGGAGACAGGGCACTTCTGCCAATTGTCACGCGCCGAGGGTCTTGGACAGCTGGGGCTGTGTGCGGCGGAGAAGGGAGCTGGGCCAATTAGATGCAGATGATGCAGATGCAGCATTAATATTGGAGGCGGATGGCTCGGTGACGGGATCACGAATATTAATATCGCTGGGGCCCGGACCGTGCTGTTAGGTGTTGCGATCTAGATGGAATCTGGACTCTGGATACAGCCGCTGATGATGTCGTTTATGCTTGGGACTGTCTCGCCTTTGTTTCTGACAGTGTTGTTATTCTCGAAATAGGTGACATTTGTATTATTTGGTCGCTGGACGTTATGGGTTGTACGTCGTACCTACGTATATGGTACAGATCGTGCAGTGCTAGCGGCGCCGATGGGAACCTGTGAGAAAACGGTTGCTCCAGTATGCATAGATAAGAAAAACACGCACAGTCGTAAGGCTAGACTCGCGCGGCGTACCGACGTAAATGTGTCTCGTGAGAGGTACCAAGGCACCACCATGCATGAGTCACTGGGGTAAAGTGAAGACGCGGTTGCGGAGCATAGCTGAACGTGTTTGTGCTATCAGCGATCGCGCCTAGCTTATCGCAACGCAGCGCAAAAACACAAAACGCAACACAGAGGCAAAACGCTCCTGGGCGATGAAGTGCATTAAGAGGGAATCGAACCCCCGGCGGGTCGAGCTAAGCTCGGTGGCAACGACCCAGGTTACCACTACCCCATTAATGCTTGGGATGGAGTGGCCTGCATGTGATCTCGGTGGGCTCGTGGAACGCATGAGTCAGGAGTAACTACTAACGCGGCGCGCGGCCCGATCCGCGCGCATGGGCAGCGGGATAGTATTGGGTTCCCGCACGTCACTTCGGGCCGGAGGTGCGTTATTGAAATGGGTGGCGCCACTCTGGATCAAGGAAAAATAAGCCTGGGTGCGCGCACAAAGTGCCGAGGAAATGCCGATATCGCGAGGCTGTGGAGTCAGCGGCCTGGCGCTTGGACTAGTCATATTCGAGGCGCAAGTGATTGGCATTGCGATTGTGATCTGTATTGTGGTTATCATGTGGCTGAATGTGAGCGCGAATGGGGATGTGGGACGCTAAACGCTAAACCACTGGAATGCAAAACGAGGTTGAAACAAAAAGCAGCTGCATTAAGAGGGAATCGAACCCCCGGCGGGTCGAGCTAGGCTCGAATGGCAACGACCCAGGTTACCACTACCCCATTAATGCGATGTGATTTGGAACCAGGGAGGAGTGGAATTGGAATGTGGATTCGAACCAGGGTTGGGTCGGAATCGAGCCGGCTCGATAAGTGTACCCCATTAATGGATGGGGTGGGAAAGCAGGCGGTGGTGGTGAGCTTGATAAGGCAGAAGCCCTTGGCGTGGAGTGATCAACAGACGACAACAAAGAAGAGTGAGATATTTTTGATAAAAACTAATTGCGGGATAACCACGTTGAGAGATAAAGATGGGCAATTCGACGTCCCAGGCCGCGCACGGAGGACGAGGAGACAAGGATCCAGCCATAAGACACCCTTCCTCGTCCTCACCATCCCCTCATCGTTCTATGCGCACAAAGAAAAAGTCTCTCGAGCTGCCCGATCTGGCCTCATTGTCGATCACGTACTCGCCCTCAGCGACCACAAGAGGTCGCAATGGTCCTCCTGCCCCAAAGTCCGCCTCCATCCCCATCCCGTACGCCCCGAGGACTCTGCTCCCCGCCGTCGCCCGCACCAGTCCTTCTCGTCCACAGAAGTCCTGGCCCCGGCCCCTCCCAGGGGCTCGGTCCCCAATGCCTACTTTCGCGGCGCTCCCCGTCCACCACAACAAGCCAGCCACAGCACCCTTCTGACAAACTCCGCATCCAGCAACAGCAGCGCGTCCAGGAGCTTTATAATCAGTCCCACGCACCTCTCCCCGCACCGCCCCGTCCCCCAACACCAGTCCCGCAAGACCCTCCCCGTCAACGAGACAGTCCAGTCCAGCATCCCCATCGCCCTCGGCAAGCCCTCCTCCAGAAGAAGAGCTCGCAAAAGTCGTCGAATCCGCAGCCGCCGAAAACGGCCCCGCCCCGACCTCGTCGCCGTCAGGATCACCTGGCGCGGCGGGGCAAGTCCGTCCAGCTTGCCCGGGCGGGGACAACGACTGGAAAGGCCGTCAGCCCATGTTCCGCGATGCATCCCCACTCGATTCCCACTCCGCCACCGTCCCGCTCCCCCCCGGCACCCACCATATCCGATTCATCGTCGACGACCAGTGGCGCATCGCAGACGACCTCCCACTGCCGTCGACGACCAAGGGCTCCCTCGCAAACTACGTCGCTGTCCCTCTATCCTATTCGCC